TGTGCCGAAATGGGTGGCGCGGACGCATGGGGTTACCGCCGCTGGGGCCTTCGGTGGAACTCCCTATGATGGGTCCACCAGGAGTGTGAGGGGTGTGACATGTGGTGGCGCGGACGCATGTGGGCATCGTCACTGGGGCCTTCGGTGGAGCTCCCTCTGGGGTCACGAGGCGTGTGAGGGGTGTGACATGGGTGGCGCGGACGCATGTGGGCACCGTCACTGGGGCCTTCGGTGGAGCTCCGTGTAGGGCCACGAAACGAATTAGGGGTGTGCCGAAATGCGTGGCGCGGGCGCATGTGGGCTCCGCCACTGGGGCCTTCGGTGGAGCTCTTTATGGGGCCAAGAAACGAGTGATGGGTGTGCCGAAATGGGTGCCGAAATGGTGATGTTGACTGCGATAATGATGATGACAACGATGGTGATTACGATGATGGTAGTGATGATGTTGATGGCGATGATGATGATTGACATTCTGCGGACGGTGATGGCGATGCTGATGATGATGGGATGATGTATGATGGGCTGGTGATGTTAATGATAATGACGCGGGTGTTGATGCTGATGCTGATGATGATGGTGATGGTGGAGGGAGGGAGGAGGAGAAGGAGGAGGAGGAGGAGGAGGCGGAGGAGGAGACGTAGGAGGAAGAGGAGGAGTAGGAGAATGAGGAGGAGAGGAGGTGACGCGGGGAGCTCTCTCCTCGAAACGAGGACCCAACACCACAGGCTGGTTGGGAACTAAAGGGTTTCTATGGTGGAGGGATACAAAGGATTCCCCATTGTGGTGGATTACTCAGGGACTCCATACGTGGCATGATACAGGAAGAACCCTTATGCGGTTGATTGCGAATGGGTTCCTCATGTGGCGGAATGCAAAGGGAATCCGTGGCCGAGCACAAAGCGTTCCCCTTGTGGCGGAATGCAGAAACATCCCCTTTGCAGCGGAATGCAAAAAGGGATTCCTTTCGTTGTGGATTACTGAAGCATTCCATGCGTGGCAGAATCCAAGAGGAATCCTTCTCTGGTTGATTACCCAAAGATTTATGTGGCGGAATGCAAAGGAGACCCTTTTGTGGCCGAGTACAAAAGGATTCCCTTGGTGGCAGAATACAAAAGGATTCCGCTTGTGGCGGAATGAGCCAGGGAATCCTACAGTGGCGGAGTGCAAATATAATCCTTCTACTCGATGAGAGGATGGTGCGCCCTGCTGCCCCAGTCCTGTGGGCCCGGCCGGATCTGGCGCTGCTGGGGGATCCGGTGGGTCCGGTGGGTCCGGCGAGTCCGGTGAGTATGGCGGGTCCGGGGAGTCCGGTGACTCCGGCGAAACGGCTGGGTCCATCGGGTCCTGTGAGTCCGGCGCCTCCTTCGCTGGCGCCGGTGGGTCTGGTGAATCCGGTGAATCCGGTGAGTCCGGCGAGTCCGGTGAGGCCATATGGAAACTGTTTTAAGGCGCTGGGACAACTTGAACTCGGTCCGGGACGCGCTCAAACTCCAGAATCAAGGCCCGACCTGCACTCATCACACTCAGTCTCCCCCACACTCGCACTCACTCATACCTCATATTCAGACTCATCCGCATTCAGACTCACTCACACCCAGACTCAAGCACAATCAAACTCAATAGCACACAGACCCATTCACACACAGACCACTCACACTCCTAGAAGCTTGAGCCCATACACACTCGCACTCAGGCGCGCACTCATATACATTCACACTCCACTTCTCCTCCGCCCTCTCATTCTCGCACTCCTCATCCTCCTCCCGCTACAATTCCGTTCGCTCTTCTCCTCCCCCTCGTTTTCGTCCTTATCCTCATCCTCTTTCCCCCTCCTCGCTCCCCTCCCCATTTCTCTCCCTGATCAAGATCATTCGCCTGGGCATCGTTGCTGGATGGGCATCGACGCACACATACCCATTCACAAACAGACCACTCACACTCCTAGAAGCTTAAGCTCATACACGCTCACACTCAGGCGCACACCCCTATACACTCACACTCTACTTCTCCTCCGCTCTCTCATTCTCGTACTCCTCATCCTCCTCCCGCTGCCCAATTCCGTTCGCTCTCCTCTTCCCCCTCGTTTTCCCCTTCTCCTCATCCTCTTTCCCCCTCCTCGCTCCACTGGCCATCCTCCCCCTGATCAAGATAATTCGCATGGGCATCGTTGCTGGATGGGCATCGACTGCAGGGGCCGATAGACGCATTAGGGCCACTGGTGGCAATCGTCTGCCATCGTCTGCAGCAGACGATAGCAAACGATAGCAGACGATAGGATCAGCTAGCGGCCGCCAGGAACCGCTGCAGACGATTGCAGACGATGGGTCCAGCTGGGGGCCGCCAAGAACCGGTGCACACGATTGCGGGCGATAGCAGAAGATAGACTATGATAGGGGCCGCCGGGGGTGGCTGTCGTCGGCTATCATCTGCAGCAGACGATTGCAGACGATAGGACCAGCTGGGAGCTGCCAGGGCCCGCGGCAGTCGAAAACTGACGATAACACGAAGCAACCTGTGGGGCCGGCAGGAACCGCAAGGGGCAAACAGGAGGCAACAACAAGGCACTTGAGTGCAATCGTCCGCTATCGTCTTCTATCGTCTGCTATCGTCAGCTTTAGTCTGCTATCGTCTGCTACCAAATAGCCGACAGCGTTTGCAACTACTATGTGTTTTCGAACCTTTTCGCTTCCGATGGGCTCTTGAGGCCTCATCTCTGGGGGCCGAGGTCCAGGGCGGGAGCAAAACTTACCATCAACAGCTAACTGGTCACCACTATCCACACCAACAACATGCGCATCGTCGCAATAAACGCCATCACCCTAGTCAGCCTCAACGTCCAGAAGCAAATCACCAGAACATAATTATCGTGAACGCCGCCATCTGCAAGATCCAAGTCATCATCGTACTTGTCATCATCACCCAAAACAATATATGAATATCAGCACCACCATCGTCACAATCAAAATCAATACAATGATCGCCATCCGCATATCCCCCGTCGACGGAGCCATCACCAAGATCGTACAAACCATCCTCATCATCATGAGCATACGCTGCAGCCTCATCATCAGCATCGTGGTCGTCGTCGTAATCATCATCGTCATGGGCATCACCACAACGAACACAACCAACATCATTATTACCATCGTCGTCGCTATGATCATCATATCCCTCATCATTAATCATCATATGCATCTTTCCCTCCCTTCCTCTTCACCAACACCATTCATGCTGTCGTCCCCCTCATCGCTTGTCAACAACGAGCGAATTGCCATAATAAGGGGCATCACCCTGATCAGCATCAACGTTCAAAAGCAAATCACCCGAAACATCATTATCGTGAGCGCCGCCATCTGCAACATCCAAGTCATCATCGTACTCATCATCATCATGATTCAAATCGGGCATCTCAACATCAGCACCGCCATCATCATCACAACCCAAATCGTTACAATGATCGCCATCAGCAGTTCCCCCGTCGGCGGAAACATCACCTCGATCGTACAAACCATCCCGATCATCAGAAGCGCACTCTTCAGCCTCATCATCATCATCATCGTCGTCGTCATCATCATTGTCATGGGCATCACCACCACGCCCACAATCAGCATCATCACTACCATCGTTGTCGTTATGATCATCATCTCCCTCATCATTACGATGACCCTTCTAACATGCTATCCTCTACCTGCTTCCCTCTCTTCCTCCTCACCAGCACCATTCATTGTGTTGTCATCCTTCCCACTTATTCAACAACGGGCGCATTGCCATGATAAGCGCCATCACCCTGATCAGCATCACCGTTCAAAAGCAACACACCATAACATCATTATCGTGAACGCCGCCAACTGCAGCATCCAAGTCATCATCGTACTCATCATCATCATCATCATCATCATCCAAATCGTTATCTCAAGATCTGCACCATCACCAATACCATCACAATCGTCGGGTGATCCGGGAGTCCGGTGAGTCGGGAGTCCGGCGGGTCTGCAAGTCCGGTGAGTCCGGTGGGTCTTGCGAGTCCAGTGCATCCGGCGAATCCGGTGTGTCCGGTGGGTCCGGTGTGTCCGGCGTGTGTGTGTCTGGTGTCCGGTGTGTCCGGTGTGTCCGGTGTGTCCGGTCAGTGTGTCCGGTGGCCGGCGTGTCCGGTGAGTCAGGTGAGTCTGGCGCGGTGGCTGGGACAACAGGCAGGACCATTCTGCTCGATGAGGATGGTTGGGAGCTGAAGCAATTGAAAACATGTCTTTTGTTTTTTCTATGATGTTTCTCACTCTCTGACTTCTTGCAAGATGTAGCCAACTTGCGCAGTCTCTGCCAGAAATCAAAAAAAATCAGGCAAACACGCAGCGTCTTCAGCTCCTAAGGAAGGGGGAGGAGCAGGAGGAGGAGGAGGCGGAGGAGGAACAGAGCAGGAGCAGGAGGAGGAAGAGGAGGAGGAGGAAGAACGAGCAGGGGGAGAGGAGAAAGAGAAGTAACGGAAAAGGAGGAGGAGGAGGAGAAGCAGGAGGAGGAGGAGAGAACGATCTGTGATTTTTGGTTGCTTTGTGTTGTTGGGGGTGCGGGCGGGGGGGGCGACCATCAATGCTTGGAGGCCCGGGGGTCGCGCAGCGCCGCCGGCGCCTCGGCGGTGCGGCGAAACGCTGCCATAAGGAACCCTAAACAAGAACGAAGCCCCTCTTGTTCTTTAAGGAAACGTTCGACTTCCATACGAAACTTAAGGAACACCGAAGAGAAGCTATAACGCGATTAAGGAATACTGATCCCCTCCCAAACGAAAAGGGTTGCTTCTTCGGCGGCCCGACTGTACCTGCTCCCCTGCGGTCCGGTCGCTGCACTTTTTCACGCCAGGCGTTTTCGATCGGATCCGGGCGCTGGGACACTCCTGAGCCGATCTGGCTCGAAGAACGCCGCAGACAGATGGGGTCTCGGGCTCCGGCCGTGGCTTTTCGCAACGCTTCAGGCTTGCTTGCGACGTCCCGTCTGAGCACCCTGGCGTCCTCCGGGCTGAGGCAGAGGTAGCACTCGCTGCCGTCCAGGAACCCCGCATGCAGGGGCCCTCTGGCGGCCGCCGCGACGAGCGCACCGGCGAGCGGAAACAGCCTCTCCTCCAGCTGGGGCGGGGCCTCGTCTGCCTCCACCGGCGCGGCCGCCGCCTTGGCCTTGGCCTTGGCCTTGGCCTTGGGGTCCGCCTGCGGGGGCGGCGAAGGCTCCAGCTGCACCAAGCGCTCGCAGACGAGGTCCCGGGGCAGCAGCACCTTCACGAGCAACACAACATTTCATAGAGGAGGAGGAGGAGGAGGAGGAGGAGGAGGAGGAGGAGGAGGAGGAGGAGGAGGAGGAGGAGGAGGAGTGCATGAGCGTAAACTTTCGGAGCTCCGCGCAGGTCTCCCCGATCGGCGCTGGCCCCCCTGTGGCGGCGCCTCTGGCGCCGCCCCTGGCGCGCTTTCTGCGCGCCGGGGAGGGGGCCCCGCCGCCGATCCCAGGAAGTCCCTGCGGACCTCCGCCAGTTTCGGCGTCTGTTAGGTCGGACATGTCCCCCTACAGGCGGATTTTGGATAAGAGATAGAAAACACTCAACAAATCGTCAAACATTGTCAACAAAATACCCCCAAATCATCCCCTGACTATTTTTGGATCGTTTTTGACTATTCCCCCCGTAGAGGGACCGGCCCGACCTAAGGCTCATGCTGCCTGTCTTCTTTTTGTTTTGCTCCTCTGCCTTCACTCCGAGCTTCAGGATCTCCAGCAGCGCCGCCCTCACCATCTTGGCGACGGCGGCGCCGCCCGGGAGCGCCGCCTTCCCGAGCCTCAGCCCGTAGAGGCAGGCCAGCAGGCACAGGGCCGCCTCGCCGGCCAGCTGGAGCAGCAACCCGCCCCGCTCGTGCTCGGAGAGGCGCGACAGGCCCACCAGCAGCTTCAGCTTGTCCAGCAGGGCCTCCTCGCCGCGGGCGCCCGCCAGCCCGCCGCCACCGCCCACGACCACCAGCAGAGGCGCCCGCGGTGCCTCGGCGTCCTCATCGCCCTCGGGTGCGGCGCCGGCGTCCCCGCCCGGGCCGAAGGGCAGCCGGAGCGCCTCCACGAACGCGGCGATCTCGGCGTCCACCGCCGGGCCGAGCACGCGCAGGGGGGCGGCGGGCCAGAAGCCGGTGTGCGTGGTGAAGGACTGGCAGGCGCAGGTCCAAGAGTCCTCGGAGGCCCTGCACATGTGGTCCGAGAAGATGGGGTCGAGGAGCGCGCCGCATCGGCGCAGCGTTTCCAAAACATCAACGATGCATCGGCAACGTCGGCGACGCATCGCCGCCGTCGGCGTGGAGAACATCGGGCGCCGCATCGAGCCGCATTGCCGATGCGTCATCGGCGCTGCGGCGCGATCCTCCGGCCACATCTCGGATCCCGTTTGAGACGCGCCGGGTCCTGCACCAGGAAGTCCGGCTGCAGCGGCCCGAACGCCCGCGCGGCCCACGCCTCACGCGCCGCCCAGGGCACGCCGACGGCCGCCGCCGGCGCGGGGGACGCGTCGGCCAGAGCGTCGTCCGCCCGCGCGGGCGCCGCTTCGCGGCGCGCGCCGAGCTCCTCCGGGAAGGCCGAGAGGTTGTCGAGGAGGTAGACCTTGCCCTCCGCGGAGTCGTCCCGCACCCTCGCGGCGAACGCCTCCAGGTGTGGCCCCAAACGTCGGTCCTGTGAAGGACCCCAGGGCGGCCCCCGAGGTGGCCCCGATCTGCCTCCGCAAGGTGGTCCCAAGAGTGACCCCCAAGTGGCTTTCAGGTGGGCCCCAAAGTGGCCCAAGGTGGCCCCAAGGTGGCCTCCACGTCGCCCAGCCAGTCGTCGTGGGGCACGAACTCCACGGAGCTGGCCGCGCCCCCGACCGCTGCCTTCAGCAGCGGCAGCAGCGGCTCCAGGGAGAGCAGGCTGCCCATCCGCGCGGCCACGCCCTCCAGCAGCCTGCTGGGCGGGGCGCCGCCCGCGCCTTCCCCCGCGTCTGTGGCCACCTGCTCGTCCCCGGCAGCGCCTGCGGCTGCCGGCTCGCCCACGTGCGCGGTGACGAGGAGCGCAAGGGGGCCCGACTCCATGACGGAGGCGACGCCCTGGAGGCGCTGCTTGGCGAGCTCCAAGGCGTCACCTGTCAGCGCCATCTGCGGCTGCCCCGCCTCCTGCGGTGCCTCTGCGGGGGGGGCAGGGGCGAGCAGGAAGCCCAGGTCGAGCTCGTACAGCACCACACAGCCGCCCATCTCCACGCCGTCGGCGTTCTGCCGGTCCACGTAAGGCTGCATCCTCTCGCGCAGCGACGCGGGCGCCGTCGCGGCGATCTTTGTGAGCAAGGTCGTCTCGCGGGCGACCGCCGAGAACTCCGCCACCTTCTCCCCGAACTTGGCCGCCGAGAATGACTCCACGAACCGCTCCTTCATCTCCTCCTCCTTGCCATCGTCGCCCAGCGCTCGCCGGGCAGCCTTCATCTCCTGGCGCTTCTCCATGAGCTGATTGTACTCTTCCAGCACCTCGACGATGGCGGCGAGAGACGATCAAGAGGGCGAGGGCAATCAATGTTTCCAGTCCGGGCAAGGTTTCAAGTATACATTGGGTATCGTCGTCGTGGGCGCAGCTCGGGCACCGCACAAGCTGTGCGGGACGATGGCGGCGCTTCTGGAAATCTCTCAGCGAGGCGCGTATGAAGGGACGGATCACGAGTACTATCGTGGCGGACGAAAGGGGGGAATGGCAAAGGGTGGGGGCTGTATGCATCTGGCAGGGTCAGTCAGCATCGAATCGACAAGTCGGACCGAATCGAAATGTGCATCGGCTCGGGCTGCATCGGCGCGGAATCGACGTCGAACCGGATCGGCCGCGCCGGGATGCACAACAGCGCCATACAAACATCGGGCCGCATCGAATCGCCAGACTCTCGGAATCGGATCGGATCGGGCCGGCCAGAACCGACAGGCAGCTCCCCAGGGCACCTCCGCGGGCGCGTCCTCCCCAGGGGGCGCCACGAAGGGCTCCATCGGAGGCAGCTGGGCGGCCGAGCGCGCGGCGGCGTAGCGGAAGGGAATGGCCGTGGCGATCTCCTCGGTGGTCCGAAGATGGGGTCCTGAGAAATAGGGTCCTAAGGATAGGAAGGGACCCCGGGGTGGATTTACGCAGTTCGAGGCACCAAGTCCTCAGGACCCCACCCCTCAGGACCCCACCTTTGAACCACCGATCTCCAGGACCGCCTCGTACGCCGCAAACCAGATCGGCGAGCGCTCCAGCGGGCGCTGCTGCGCCGCGCGCGTGGCGCGCGCGAGCTCCACGGAGACGGAGGCCTTCTCCTTCAGCATCTTGTCGTCGTCTGGTGCCGCCTGCAGAGCGGCCAGGTCCCGCTGGCACCGCTTGGCGCACGGCACCCCGGCCACGTCTTCAGGCGCCGGCGGCGGCGGGTCCGGCGGGGGCTTCTGCAGCGGCCTCCTGCGGAGCCCGAGCGGGGGGGCAGCTCGGGGCCGTGGCCCCGAGCTGCGAGAGGCGCCTCTCGCCGCTCGGGGACGCCCTCGGGTTGGCCCCTCGCCGCTCGGGGGCGCCCTCGAGCTGGCCCCTCGCAGCTCGGGGACGTCCCCGGACTGGCGAGGGGAGAGGACCGTCGCCCCACTCCGAGCCGATTCGAGGACGTCCCCGAGAAACGCAAATCAGCAGCAACAGCATTTTTTGACGGAAGTCGACTAGCAACTGCATCCAACTACTAAAGCTCTACACATACTCGCAAGATGCAGTAATCGGGGGCGCGCAAACATGGATTAGCGATCCATGGACTTGGCGCGCGGTCGCCGAATCCATGGATCGGGGGAGGTGCCCTCCCCAAAATGCGGCCGGTGCCGCCTCGCTCGGCGGCGGGAATCCGCGACTTCCCATGGAAACGGGACCCGTCGCTGATCCACGCCCCCTTGATCCATGTTTGCGATCGCCTGAAGTTAGGGGACGAAATCCGCCGCGTCGGCGTCGTCCTGTGGGCCGCCCGCCCCGATCTCGCCAGCGGGCCGATGCGGGGTGGCCTCTCTGCGCCTGGAGCGGCCTCGCTCGCCTCGGCGGAGGCGCCGCGCCGCGGATGGCCTCGCAGCCCTCGCGAGGGGCGGACACCCCCGTCGTAGGGTGCGGCGGCCAAGGCGCGCGGGCGCGGGCCGACCCGAGCGGGACAAGCCTGTGGATGCCTCGCTCCCACAGAGGGGTGAGAGCCTCGACTCGAGACCCATCTCTAAGACCTCTGAGTCGACCGCCAGCACGGGAGCGGTCGTGCTCAGCGGGCGCGACGCCGCGCCAAACAGAAGTAAGCTGACCACCTGGAAAGGGCCGACCAGCCCCGTGAATCCTTCCGCCTCCGCCAGACTGAGCCTGTCGGCCGAGCGGAAGGACACAGGCAACGCCAGCAAGGTGCCCCCAGGCCGAGCGGCCAGACTCAGTCCGCCCTCGTCCAACCGCCAGTGGTCGCACTGGGTGGCCGACAGCGGAGTGGTCGGGCGGAGGTTGGGCCGGACAGGTCCCTCGGGGATGGCGAACCGCACCCCGCTGCAAAAAGCAGCGGCTGCCATCGTTGGCGGCGCGCACGCGCGCGACCCCCGGGCCACCCGCAAGAGCACGAGCCACGGGGGGGGGGGGCACAGCGGGCGGGCCTCGCGGAGGGTGCCCCCGCGCGCTCCTCGGCCCGCGCTCCGGGGCCGCAGGGCCGGGGCACGCAGCGCACCGCGGCCGTGCCCGTCGGGGGCTCCGATCGCGGCCCGCGCGCGCGGGGGGGGGGCCGGCTGGCCCCCGCCAGCTGGCCACGAGGGCCCCGATGCAGCAGCCCCCGCACAGGGGCTGCAGACGGTGGCCCCGAGACGGGCCACTGCCGTGGAGAGCAGCACTTGTTCGTTGGCTCGCCACGCGGCCCTGCGCCACCCGTCGCGACGGCGCCGGCCGGGATGCCGGCCATGGAGGCAGGAGCCACGCGCGCGCTCCAGCAGAACGCCCGTCCTGCGAGCGCGGCCGAGGCTCGGGGCAGAACCTCGGGCAGTTGCCAGAGGGGTGGCCCCGCTGCTCAACCCCGCCGCAAGCCCCAGGCAGACGGTGGGGCAGGCCGCGCCCCAGGCGGCCCAGGGGGGGGCGGTGCCCTCCGCCTTCTCGAGGTCGGCCCGGGGCGGACCGCGGCGTCCCCGCGCGGAGGGGGCGCCGAGGTCCGCGAGCGGCGGGGGCGCGGCTGACCTTCGAGGCACTCGTAGAGCGCGGCTCGTAGGCCTCGGAAGGGCAGCTCGCCCGTCCCATCGATGGCTGCCCGAGCGAGCGCCTGCATAGAGCGCCCGCCGAAAGGAGGCCACGCGAAGGCATGGGAGAAACAGCTGCAACGACCGCGAAACGCAAGGAAAGGGATAATAAGAGAGAGCACACACTTTTGTATGCATGCATGTCTGTATGTATGCATGCATATATGCATGTATATGTGTTTGTTTGCTTGTTTGTTTGTTTGTTTGTTTGTTTGTTTGTTTGTTTGTTTGTATGTGTGGGTATATGTATGCATGGGTACATGCATGTACGTATGCAGGTCTGTACGCACGTACGTATGCACGTATGCACGTATGTATGTACACATCTGTATGTATGTGTGGATGGATGGATGGATGGATAGATGGATGGCTATATGGATATGTATGTATGCATGTATACATACATGCAGTCATGCATGTGTGTGTTTATGTACGCACGCATACATTCATGAATGTATGCATGTATGTATGTATGTACGTGCATATGTATGAATGTATGCATGTATGCATGCATGCATGAATGTATGTATGCATGTACGCATCTATGTATGTATGCATGCATGTATGTATGTGTGTATGTATGTGTGTGCCTGTCTGTCTGTCTGACTGTCTGTCTGCCTGCCTGTCTGCCTGTATGTATGTATGCATGCATGCATGTGTATATGTAGGTAAGTAGGTAGATATGTAGGTAAGTGTCTATGTATGTATGCATGCATGCATGCATGTATGTATGTGTATATATATATATATACATCCACTGCTCTAGGCCTGCCCCATCTTGGGCCCATGAGCGGTGCATACGTCCTCTGGGTTTGGCCAGGGATATGTGTATATATATATATATAGAAAAGTATATATTTACACATAAATATCTATATATATATATACATATATATATGTCGCTCCTGGGCCCAGGATTGGCCAGGCCAGGGGCAGTGGATGTTCGGAGACGGGCGACGTGACGACCTGAAAATTCAAGATCGGCCCCAAATCGGTCCCGGCCGTGGCGACGAGGGGCCCCCCCGAAGGCCAGCTACCAATGTCTCAAACGGCCCTCTGCTGGGATAGGGGATCGACCTCGTTGCCCTAGGATTACACCCTGCGAAATGCTTCAGAAATCATGGGTTAAGAAATTCATAGTCTCAGAAATGGAATAAAACCCAGAACTTCTATCAAAATCTTGGGATTTACATGGAAACGTTAAGGATAATCGAGACTCTGGCCGAAAACTTAGGTTTTCTTAAGCATCGCATAAGGATTAAGTCGGGCCTCTCCCCCTACAGGGGGCTTTTCGACGAAAAACAAAGAATACTCCAAAAGTAATCCACATATAATCCAAACATAGTCTGGGGACAATGTTTTGAATCTTTGTTGACCTTTTTGGAGTATTTCGGGGGGTATTTTTGATTAGTTTATCGTCGAAAATCCCCCTGTAGGGGGACAGGCCCGACTTAACCCCAGGAGCGGCCACGTAGGGCAGAGGCAGGGAAGACAGCAAGACTTTGCGGCCGGCGCAGCAGAACGGGGCGCACTGAACAGCACGGGAGGGGCAACGGGCCGAGGGGGAGGCAACGGAGGAGGAGGAGCGGAAGGCGAGGGAGCTAACACACAGTTGCGGGCATAGAAGCTTCGGGAACCAACAAGTTACCGATCCCGCTACTCCTCAGACTTCTCCAGGGGTGCGTTCTGACCAGAATCTCGAGGCGGATCCAACGGTGGCGACGAGGGCCTCCCAGCAGGCCCGAAAACGGGAAAACGAGGGAAGGGTAGCGGGTACACCGAGAGCGGACGTTGCAGAAAAATTGCAAGATCTGAAGAAATCCCGCGAGGAACCCTGTACCCCATCTTTCCGCGTCACTTTTCGAGCCAGATCGACCTGCGAGGGCCCAGGGGCCCGAAGAAAGGCGAAAACGCCCGGCTTGGACAAATGGAAACGCCAGGCTCTCAAGGCATGGGTACCTTCTCCTCCTCTGATGGACTCGCTTCGACTTGCTCCCGGGAGCGATGTCGCGTTCACAGGGGAACTAAAAGCGGCATCAACATAAAGACTCGGAGGTCCGCGCGGATTCCTCGGATCGGCGCTGGACTCCCCTCCCTGGCGCGCGGAGCGCGCCAGGGGCGGCGCCGGAGGCGCCGCTGGGGGGCCCCAGCGCCGATCCGAGGAATCCGCGCGGACCTCCGAGTTGTTATGTTTGTGTCACCTTCTGCTCCTCTAGCTCACGGTTCGACTTGCCCCCGGAAGCGACGCCGCGCTCGCCCCCCCCCCGGGGGGAAGCTCCTGCCGCGCAGCTTGCGGGCGGGCTCCCGCGCGGCCGCCAGCGGGCCCGCCGCCACGGCCGCCTCCGCGGGCGGCTTCAGGGCCTCGGTGCCGCTGTCGCTCGCTCGCTCGGGACGGCGACGCCGACGCCGACGACGACGCCGACGCCGACGACGACGCCGACGACGACGACGGCGGCGACAACGACCAGGATGGCGACGAGGATACCGACGACGACTGCTGCGACGACGACGACGACGACGACGACGACGACGACGACGACGACGACGACGGCGGCGGCGGCGGCGGCGGCGGCGGCGGCGGCGGCGGCTGCGGCGATAACGACGGCGACGGCGACGAGGTTTTCGCAGGTTTCGTTGGCTTTCTCGAGATCGAATCGACATGTGCATCGGATTGGACTGCACTGGCACGGAGTCGCAATCGAATCGGATCGGTCGTGCTCGGATGTACACTAGCGCCATGCAAGCGTCGGGCCGCGCATCGTCGGAATATCGGAATCAAATCGAATCAGGCCGGACAGAATGAGCATCGAATCGGATCGATCGGGTCGAAATGCAACCTGGCCTTGCTCAGGGGGGGTAAAGGGCGGAAGAGCCACCCTCGTGACAAGCAGCCCCACAGGCGAAGCCCTTCAGGAAACGACCGAAGAGGATGGGGCTTTGCAGTGAGCGAGCAAGCTTGCCCAATGAACGCCAATCATGGGGGTCGGGACGGCTCTTCCTCCCGTGAGTGATGCTGCTGCAACCCACTTGTCCGCGACGGCTCGCAGCTGTCTTGTCTCGCAACAGCGCTGGCGATCGGCTTTTTCCTGGAGGGGTCGCGCAGCCGAGAGCTGCGCCAACCTGGCCAACGCTTGGGACCTGTCTCTACAGTGGAAGGCCAGTCCACAAGAAACCTTCCACAAGAAACGCAGCAGTGAGACCCCAGGACGTCCATGGACTTCTGGTGTGGGAGCGCCACGCTCTCCGTGGCAAAACCATTGAAGCCCAAGAAACCCATGGCACCAGGGAGGCAAGCAGGGTGTTTCTTGGCATGGGCCCCAACTGTAACACGAATCGATCGGCTCGTTCTCTGGCGCTGGCGCCCCCGCTGGCTATGCTCGCGCGCGCGCGCGTCCGAGCGCAGGACGGCCACGCGGTCGCCGATGCCTGCCGGCGGCACGCGCCAGGGGGGTGGCGCCAGGGGGGTCTTCTGAGAAGGCGAGGGTCTTCTCAGAAGCCATCCCAGCTTCTGAGAAGGCTTCTGTAGGGGAACGAAACGTGACATAAACATAATAACTCGGAGGTCCGCGCGGATTTCTTGGATCCGCGCTGGACCTCCCTCCCTGGCGCGCTCTGCGCGCCAGGGGCGGCGCTGGAGGCGCCGCCAAGGGGCTCCAGCGCCGATCCGAGAACTCCGCGCGGACCTCCGGGTTATTGTGTTTATGTAATTGATCGTATCCCTATTCTTAGAAGCCCACGGGCCCTTCTGAGAAGACCCCCTGCCTTCTTCGAGGGCGCGCAAACATGGATTAGCGATCCATGGATTTAGCGCGCGGTCGACTCATCCATGGATCGGGGGAGGTGCCCTCCCCAAAATGCGGCCGGCGCCGCCTCGTTCGGCGGCGGGAATCCGCGATTTCCCATCGAAACAGGACCTGTAGCTAACCCATGCCCCCTTGATCCATGTTTGCGATCGCCTGCTTTCGGAGAAGCCCTCCGCCCTCGAAGGAGAGCCCCCCCCCCTCACGCCACCCCCTTGCGCCCGCCGCCGAGCCTTTCAGGCTCTCCCACGCGTGGGGCGTCCAGTACAGCTCCTGCGACGCGTTCGCCTCCTCGAAGAGCCTCTCCTGGACCACGCTGGAGCTCAGGTCCGGCTCGATCCTGCGGAGGGAGGTCCGGCGCACAGACTCCAGGATGTCGTCGATGAGCTCCTGCACCTGGTGCAGCACCTGTACGCGGCTCGCTTGGCACACCCCGCATCCTCCACGAGCGGCGCAGAGACCCACCCTCGCGGCCTGGACTCGGGACACGACCCCACGGATATTGTCGGACCGACGCCAGAGTAACATCCTCCAAGAACCTGCGACCCTCCGTCGGCCTAAACCAAGAAAAACATCCAAGGGCACCGTCCCCAGGATGCACAAGAACATCCAACAAGCACGAAAGACGTTAGGGTACCCTCCCCGAACCGACCACGATGTTATGCCTCGGCCCGACTGTACGCCGTCGCCTGGATACGTTCCACGCGGGGCATCCGCGGAGCAAAAACGCCCCGTGTCCAAGGAAAAGAGGGAGGGAAAGGAGGAGGAGGAGGAGGAGGAGGAGGAGGAGGAGGAGGAGGAGAAGGTGGAGGAGGAGGGAGAAGGAGGAGGAGGAGGAGGAGGAGGAGGAGGAGGAGAGGAGGAGGGAGGAGGAGAAGGTGGAGGAGGACGGGAGAAGGAGGAGGAGGAGGAGGAGGAGGAGGAGGAGGAGGAGGAGGGAGGAGGAGGAGGAGGGAGGAGGAGTCGCGGCCCAAGGGTCCGGCCCGCGAGGCCAGGCCGTGGATACGGATTTGTTTTCCGCCCACGAGTGGCCCACTTGGCGCACCCTGGCATCCCTGCATCATGATTGGGCTGAACTCATGGTCCTATCCCTTCTCCTCCTCCTCTCCTCCTCCTCCTCCTCCTCCCCCTCTTCTTTCTCCTCCCCCTCTTCTTCTCTCTCCTCCTCCTCCTCCTCCTCGTCCTCCTCCTCTCCCCTCCTCCTCCTCCATCTCCTCCTCCATCGCCTCCTTCTCCATCTCCTCCTCCTCCTCTTCCCCTTCCTCCCCCTCCTCCTCCTCCGCCTCCTCCTCCTCCTCCTGCTCCGTCTCCCTATCTCCTTATAGATAACTCCTATCTGTCGCACCCCGAGGCCAGTTTTTAGGGCGGGCTGGGCGTTTCGCCTGAGAATCCCTCACCATTTATGGCCCTGAAACTTAAACAACGACAGCAAGTTTCACGGACTGAGGGCGGGTCGTTTTCGAAAAATGTGGCTCTCGCCCTGGCGCCACGCACATTCGCTTTAAACCATTTGCAAGAGTTTCACGGATTGGGGGCGGGTCGTTTTCAAAATGTGGCTCTCGCATTGGCGCCGCGCACATTCGTTTTCTTCAAAAGTCGCAACAGTTTCACGGATTGACGGCGGGCCATTTTCATAATGTGGTTCTCGCGTCAGCGCCGCACACATTAGTTTTAAACCTCGCAAGAGCTTCACGGATTGAGGGCGGCTCCTTTTCAACATGTGGCTCTGCCCGTAGCGCCGCGCACATTCGTTCTTCAAACTTTGAAAGAACTTCACGGGTTGAGGGTGGGTCATTTTCAAACAGTGGTTCTCGCCTTGGCGCCGCGCACATTCGCTTTGAAACATCTTGCCAGAGTTGCACGGAATGTTGAGGGCGGGCCGTTTTCAAAATGTGGCTATCGCCTTGGCGCCGCGCACATTCGCTTTTAAACATGTTGCCACAGCTTCAAGGTTTGAGGGCGGGTGGTTTTCAAAATGTGGCTCTCTCCTTAGCGCCGAGCACATTCGCTTTCAACCAAACTGCTAGGAGTTTCACGAATTGAGGGCGGGTGGTTTTCAAAATGTGGTTCTCGCCTTAGCGCCGCGCTCATTATGTTCAAACTTTGCCAGAGTTTCACGGATACCCCTGGTCAACGTACCAGAAATGGCGTTCTGGAGGGATTCAAGATTATGCGGGTGCAGCGGTTATATTGATTCACGGTGTTGAAATCCCCCCAAAGACGCTCTGACACGATTTCGGACCGTCAAGACGCAACAGTCAGGTTGATACGTGGCGTTGAAATCCCCAGAGTAATGTTTTGGCATGCTTCAGGATCTTCAAACGGTTGTCTTCCAACGAGGCAGTTCCCTCTGTGGAAACGAGCCGTTGTGGGGGCCTATGAACAGGGAGCTCGGAGAGAGGGTTAATTCCAACATCGTTGATGACTCTTGGTTTTACAGTGGTCCTCCTCCTCCTCCTCCTCCTCCTCCTCCTCCTCCTCCTCCTCCTCCTCCTCCTCCTCCTTGTACCGGCTCAAGTCCTGATCACACCGCTGGATGTGCAGGACGTCAGCACTGCCGTTTGGGGAAGGCCCTGGGCGCTGGGGCTCGAGCAGGCCCCCCGCGGCCTTTCGACACTTCGATCACGAAGTCTGCTTTCGCTCCCTTGTGATCGCCCGCGAGGCGCAGGGATCACAAGTCGCGATGGCCAAGCAGCAGGACTTCATCACGTGCAAATCGCCGCGGCTCTAAAGGCTGGGCTTGGTGTTCTACTGTCGCTAAGCATTGTGCTCAATGCGGCGGCCGTTTCAAGCAGCAACAACATGACCAGTCTGGAGGCGCCCGTGGTAATGCCGCCAGCAACCTCGGTGCCGCGGGCGAGGCAGGACCAGGTCTCCAGTCTACGCCTGAGCCGCACCGTGACAAGCCTGGCCGCTGGCGTGGACGTGACCGCTCTCGTGGGCCCAGTCGCCCTCCAGGTCTCCGACGGCCAGGCGCAGTCTCTCTCGCGGAAGGAGATGAACCGCAACCACAAGCAGAAGATCCAGTGGTTCTGGCGCAGGCGCAGGTCACATTCTGGAAGAAGTGGAAGCCCAACGGTGAGGAGCACACCGCGGCGTTGGGCAAGCTCAAGCAGGCCAAGGCATCAATCTTGGCTTCGAAGTCGTTGGGCCAGCAAGCACAATCTCTCTCGGGCCAGTTGGAGACCCAACGCCAGAAGTATGCACCACAAACATCGGGACTCAAGCAGCTCGTTGCAGTCATCCTGGACGCCAGCGATAGGCACTCCAAGCTCGCCACGGAAGCCAAAGCACGCAGCAGGATATCCAGAACCTCGAGAGCCAGTGCAATATGGCCAAGCAGGGTGCCACGCAGGCGGCCACCAAGGACGGGGACCGATTATCGACCTTGCAGGGGGTACTCGCGGCGCGCATGCCGCCTGGCAGCAGGGCACCGCCCGACCTCTGCTCGAAGGTGGCCGGGCTCGCGACCTACTTCGGCGACTTCGCGACTCAGCGGTTGCAGTCCCAGGAGGCTGCGCCCAGGTCGTGGGTGGACAACGGCTTCCCGAGCGTCGGCGAGGCTCCCGAGGGGGGGCCCGCTGCCGCAGGCGACGCCGCCAGCGGCGACGCGCCGCCGGCGCAGCCCATCGGCGCCGCCGCGGCGGCGGGCGCTGCGGCCGCAGGCGAGAACGCGCCGCGACCGAACGACGCAGGGCTCGACGCGGGAGCAGACGAGATGGACCCGACCAAGTCCTTGGTGCGCGCGGCGTCGGCCCTCCATGCCGTTGCCAGCGGCGTGGCCGAGATCCAGGGCCAGGGGGGTCCCGGGGCCAAGCGGGCCAAGGCGGCAGCATCAGCAGTGGCAACAACAACGGGGACAGCTGGGGCATCAGGGTCTTCGCCGCCGTCTTCGCCACCGTCTCTTTGACAACGTCTACGCGTCCGCCACGATCAACAGATAGTGCTGGTGAGCAGTGAGAGGCTTAGTAGAGCCCAGCACTGCGCGCAATTTATCTTTCATCTGCACTCAGGAGTGCAGGCTTGAAGCAGGGGACAGTACCATTCGTCAAATACGATGGTGCTTCGCACGAGGCTGGCTTGCTCACATTGCGCCTGCCGTCCGCAACCCCTCGGGTGAGCTTGTCTCGGGGGTGGCGGTTTTAGTTCGGGATGGCTTGGACTTGGGGTTCAGCCGCTGCAGCTTCTTCCAGGGGCTGACAGCTCCAGACTCGCTGCAGTTGTCGTCGAAGCGCCAGGGGTCCCAGCTTTCGGTCTGGTGAGCGCTTATATTCAGGCATCCTCGGGTCCCAATGAGACCCATCTAAATCTGCTGGCCACCATCGGCCAGACCCAAGATCTAGCAGGCAAGCCTCTCACTGTTGCAGGTGATGTCAATTTGCAGTCAGAGAGGCTTCAGCAGGGCACGGATTGCCCCACGCGTGCCACGATGAGGGCAGCGGCGCCCAAAGCCGCCACCTACCGCACTAAGAAGACGAAGTCGACCCTCGATTTCTTTATCCACAGCCAGGCCTTGGGGCCCTGGCTGGAACCTCCCTGCACCTTGGCCTCCTACCCCTTGGCTCCCCACCGCCCTGTTACCATGGCCCTGCGTGCGCAGGACAATTTCAAGATGCCGACGCTCCTCGGGCCCCAGAAGCTCCCCGCTAGGGCGCTCATTGGACCTCAGCTCCCGCCGGTCAGTTGGCATCAGACAGCTGCAGTGATGGAGCATGCTACCCAACTTCTCGGAGATGCCTCGCAGCCCCTCTCCGACCAGCAGCGCTCCACCATCCTGGACCACGTGTACTTCGCCCTCGTCCAGGACCTTGAGCACGCACTCAGCGTGACAACGGACACCCCCCTCAGACCCAGCAAGGCTCCCGAGGCTCACCCCCCCTCCCCCAGATCCAAATGGTCTCGGCGAGTGCGAAGTGTCCCCAGGGGCGCAAGTGCTGGACGGCCTACTCCAGGCCTCTTCGATGGCTCCAAAATCGGCTGCAATATTTTCGACGCAGCATCCAGGATGAGGATCCCCAGGATTTTCGAGACACCCTGGACAGTCTGGAAGACAGCCCGGCAAGTTTTAACACCTCTCCTGCCATTGATCAAGGGCTGCAGGAAATTCGCGTTGCCGCAGGACTGTCGCATGAGGATGTACAAGCGCAGAGGCTCAACGCAGAGTTGGACATCACTATTTGAGATGAGCTGCTCGAGCAAGTCGGCAATATCATCGATGCTGAGCTTGCCACTGAGCGCAGTACGGACGGGCAGGAGTAGAGGGGTTGGGTGCAGTCTTCCATTAAAGGAGGTATGGGATGGGCGCACAGGTGGACGAAGAAGCTCAAAGCTTGGAAGCCTGTTTCGGTTGTGCATCGCCAGCGGTTTTCTGGGCGCCCGCAGCGCACCCTCCAGGTCGAAGCCGGCCG